ACCAGGTTTAAAGTCTAAGTTACAAGGAGGTAGATTTTGATCAAACATTAGAAGGAACACTAAAGTACTTCCTTCCTTCCTTAAGTGATCCCTCCTTGTCCAAGTAGGATAATCTTTCAAGATCAGTGTACTGGTGGGTCCGTGAGTGACTGTGGAGACCCATTCTTGATCTGCATCTTCTCCCACAGCGAGGGCATTGGTTTCCAGGTGGAAGGTGGTCTTGGTCAGGGTTGGCTTGACGTGCCTTCCTCTTGGCACGTTTCTCTTTTTCACCCTCCATTCGTGCCTCTTCAAATTCTACAGCACTGCTGGTCACAGCTGACCTCTAACTGGAGTGCTCAAGGGCCAGGGCTTCCCAGTTCTCAGTGTCTATGCCAGAGTTTCTAAGGTTGGCTTTCAGCCCATCTTTAAATCTCTTTTCCTGTCCTCCAACATTCTGTTTTCCATTCTTGAGTTCGGAATAGAGCAACTGCTTTGTGAGACACTGGTCGGGCATCCGGACAACGTGGCCAGTCCAGCGGAGTTGATGGCAGAGGACCATCGCTTCAATGCTGGTGGTCTTTGCTTCTTCCAGCACACTGATATTTGACCACTTGTCTTCCCAAGAGATTTGCAGGATTTTCCAGAGGCAACACTGATGGAATCATTCCAGCAGTTGCATGTGACATCTGTAGACAGTCCACGTCTCGCAGGTGTGTAGCAGGGTTGGGAGGACAATAGCTTTATAAACAAGCACCTTGGTATCCCTACGGATGTCCCGGTCCTCAAACACTCTCTGCTTCATTCAGAAAAAAGCTGCACTTGCAGAGCTCAGGTGGTGTATTTCAGTGTCGATGTTGACTTTGGTGGAGAGGTGGCTGCCAAGGTAGTGGAAATGGTCAACATTTTCTAATGTTACACCATTAAGCTGTATTTCTGGCATTGGAGGGGGATTGGCTGGTGACTGCTGGAAGAGCACTTTGGTTTTCTCGAAGTTCAATGACAGTAAACACTTTTTGTTCAACAATGGAACCAATTACCTAGAAAGGCAGTGAGATCTCTTTCTTCAAAAAGCAGACAAATAACTGCAGGGGATGCTCTTGCCGGATTTTCTCCCTTGAGCTGAAGTTTTGTATGTGTGTATGCAATGTCCTATGTGGCTCCTTTCAACTGTGTGTTTGTATTAATCAGGGTTTTGTAATGCTAGGATAAAGGCTCACTGATTGAAATATACCCCCTGTTTTAAAACAGAGCCATCTAACTAAAAAAAAAATACTATGCTGAAAGGTGGCATCTTTCTAGAGTTCATTAAGCTACATTTCATCTTGCTTTCATGGCATTTCCATCCATCTTTTTGCGTGTGCAAAAGTTTGCTGTGCTAAAAATACGAATAATAGGAAGCTACAAGAGAGAAAGTCACATCGGGTTATCTTCCCCATATGCTTTGAGACCCATCAGCAGGGAAGAGAAGAGTCTCTCTTGTACTGATCAGGGTTGAGATTCAACTTGCTGACAATCATCCCAATTCCTCTGGGGATCTCTTGGGAAAGCAAATAGTTGAGGCTGTCACTCAGCGGAGCTCCTTGAGACTTCGAAATGAGGTTGTTGAGGCTGGAAGCTCCCCAAAGAGACTCGCATCTGGGTAGATTTTACCATCAGACAGAGTGAAGAAACTTGGCTGATGGAAGCAGCCGATTTTGGGGGGTATCATTTCAACTGAAGTGGTCTTTCTTAAGCCATGTGGATCATAGTATATATTATGGAGCCCCCGGTGGCGCAGTAGGTTAAACCCCTGTGCCAGCAGGACTGAAGACCGACAGGTCACAGGTTCGAATCCGGGGAGAGGCGGATGAGCTCCTTCTATCAGCTCCAGCTTCTCATGCAGGGACATGAGTGAAGCTTCCCACAATGAGGATAAAACATCAAATCATCTGGGCGTCACCTGGGCAACGTCCTTGCAGACGGCCACTTCTCTCACACCAGAAGCGACTTGCAGTTTCTCAGGTTGCTCCTGACACGACAAAAAAAGTATATATTTATTGCGCAATGAGGAACTGGATTTCTTAAGTGTACACTGCAGATCTAACACAGTTTGACAGCACATTAACTGTTGTGGCTCAAGGTTGTGGAATCATGGGAACTATAGTTTTACAAGGCCTTTAGCATTCTCTGTCAAAGACTGCTGGTGCCTCACCAAACTACAAGGATTCCATAGCATTGAGCCATAGAACATGGGGGGGGGGGGTTGATTTTGTCATTTGGGAGTTGTAGTTGCTGGGATTTATAGTTCTCCTACAATCAAAGAGCATCTGAACTCCACCAATGATGGAACTGAACCAAACTTGACACACAGAACTCCCATGACCAGCAGAAAATACTGGAGGAGTTTGATGGGCATTGACCTTGAGTTTTGGAGTTGTAGTTCACCTACATCCAGAGAGCACTGTGAACTCAATTTCTGATGGTCTTTGGCAACCCTTCTGATACCCTCTCACTACCCCTTAGGGGTCTTGACCCCGCAGATTGTGGAACACTGTCATAGAAGTTAAAATGGTATCAAACTGCATTAATTATACAGTGTAGATACATCCTTTGCCACCCATACATACACAGACTCCTATAGTGAGAAGGCCTAGTACAACAAAACTTTATTATGGTCACTGACCAGCACAAAGCGGGGCACAAGCGCTTTGGAGGGGAAGGACAACTCCCCCGTGAAGGAGTTATTTAAAAGTAGATTAGAAGACAGTTTAAAATCACGTTTTATTGTAACAGGTATGTGATGGTGAGAAGTGTTCCTCTTGTAGTACCTGTAGATAGAAGAGATGTCTAGTATGTAGCCCATGAACCTCATTGGAAGGGATACAATGCATCACTTAAAGTGGTATCAAACTGAATTCTTTCCACAGTGTAGATCAGGTTAGGAATTGTGAAAGTTAGAGTCCAAAACACCTGGAGAGCTGAAGTTTGCCTGTGCCTGGTGTATATGCAGCCCTGGATGTCTAAGGATTCCATAGCATTGAGCCATAGAAGTTAAAGCGGTATGAAACTGCATTAATTCTACAGTTTAGATGCACCCTTTGTCTCCCTTACACACACAGACTCCTATGGCGAGAAGGGCTCCTTTTGTAGTATTTTGTAGATAGAAGGGACATAGACATAGACATAGACATCTAGTATGTAGCCCATGAACCTCATTGGATCAGTTCATAGAATCATAGAATCAAAGAGTTGGAAGAGACCTCATGGGCCATCCAGTCCAACCCCCTGCCAAGAAGCAGGAATATTGCACTCAAATCACCCCTGACAGATGGCCATCCAGCCTCTGTTTAAAAGCTTCCAAAGAAGGAGCCTCCACCACACTCCGGGGCAGAGAGTTCCACTGCTGAATGGCTCTCACAGTCAGGAAGTTCTTCCTTATGTTCAGATGGAATCTCCTCTCTTGTAGTTTGAAGCCATTGTTCCACGTCCTAGTCTCCAGGGAAGCAGAAAACAAGCTTGCTCCCTCCTCCCTGTGGCTTCCTCTCACATATTTATACATGGCTATCATATCTCCTCTTAGCTTTCTCTTCTTCAGGCTAAACATGCACAGCTCCATAGGCCGCTCCTCATAGGGCTTGTTCTCCAGACCCTTGATCATTTTAGTCGCCCTCCTCTGGACACATTCCAGCTTGTCAATATCTCTCTTGAATTGTGGTGCCCAGAATTGGACACAATATTCCAGGTGTGGTCTAACCAAGGCAGAATAGAGGGGTAGCATTACTTCCCTAGATCTAGACACTATGCTCCTATTGATGCAGGCCAAAATCCCATTGGCTTTTTTGCCGCCACATCACATTGTTGGCTCATGTTTAACTTGTCCACAAGGACTCCAAGATCTTTTTCACACGTACTGCTCTCAAGCCAGATATCCCCCGTTCTGTATCTTTGCATTTCGTTTTTTCTGCCTAAGTGGAGTATCTTGCATTTGTCACTGTTGAACTTCATTTTGTTAGTTTTGGCCCATCTCTCTAATCTGTCAAGCAGTATCGATCTGCATTAATTCTACAGTGTACGTGCATCCTTTGTCTCCCTTACACATACAGACTCCTATGGGGAGAAGGGCTCCTTTTGTAGTATCTTGTAGATAGAAAGAAAAACATCTAGTATGTAGCTCATGAACCTCATTGGATCAGTTAAGGCGGTATCGAACTGTATTAATTCCACAGTGTAGATGCAGCCCCGGATGTCTCACCTTCAGACAGTCACTATACATTGGATTTGACAATAACAGCGGGGTATAAATTCAATAAATATTTATTTATTTGATTTATTTACCATATTTATATACCACCTTTCTCAGCTTGACGGCCATGTAGTAAACTCAGGCATTTACTTCTCAGTAGCCTGAAGAAGAGAAGGCTGAGAGGAGATATGATAGCCATGTATAAATATGTGAGAGGAAGCCACAGGGAGGAGGGAGCAAGCTTGTTTTCTGCTTCCCTGGAGACTAGGACGCAATGGGACAATGGCTTCAAACTACAAGAGAGGAGATTCCATCTGAACACGAGGAAGAACTTCCTGACTGTGAGAGCCGTTCAGCAGTGGAACTCTCTGCCCCGGAGTGTGGTGGAGGCTCCTTCCTTGGAAGCTTTTAAACAGAGGCTGGATGGTCATCTGTCAGGGGTGATTGGAATGCAATATTCCTGCTTCTTGGCAGGGGGTTGGACTGGATGGCCCATGAGGTCTCTTCCAACTCTTTGATTCTATGATTCTATAATTCTAAGATCCCCAAAAGGGGGTTGAATACCTTTTTCCTTGGCTTTTCTGAACTGAAGAGTTCAGACCCATTGAAAAAGAAGTGCTGATAGAGAGCAATTCAGTACCTGGAAGCTGAGTTTATTTGTAGGCGGGGCCTCCTGCAAGGAGGGAATGGAGGCGTGGCTGTTTCACGAAGTCGGAGAGCGATTGGCCGCCTGAAGCAAAATAGGCGGGGCTCTGCCAATGATTGACAGGTGGAGAAGCGCAGTCCTGTTGCCAAGGACGCTGAGGCTGTCTTAGGTAGGCATGGCGGGCATTGAAGGCGACGACGCTTCGGCAGCTTTGGACCAAATTGTGACCCAGTTTAACACCTACGAAGATTACCTGGACTCTCAGATCACCACGCAGGACCTCTACTACCTGGAGGTGAGCGGGGAGGTTATAAGGCACGGTGGGAAGAGTGCCTCTGAGCACGTGCAGAGTGCACGCGCGTGTTTATCCCCCCCTCCCCTTCCCACTCACTATGGATGGGGCATCTCTACAGTGTGGAATTAATGTAGCTTAACTGCTCTATGGAATCATGGTATTTGCTATGGAATCGTGGGATTTGTAGTTTTCCAAGGTCTTTAGCTTTCTTTTCCAAAGAGTGCTGGTGATTCACCAAACTACAAATCCCAAGAGCCATGGGCAGTTAAAGCGTGGTCAAACTGCATTAATTCTATAGTTTATTTTTAATTTTTAATAATAATTAAATAATAATAATAATAGTTCTACAGTTTAGATGCTTGTGGAAGAATGCATATAAGTCAATAAGGGTGCATCCACACTGTAGATTTAGTGCAGTTTACTTATTTATATCCCACTTTATCTCTCCATGGAGCCCCCGGTGGCGCAGTGGGTTAAAGCACTGAGCTGCTGAGCTTGTTGATCGAAAGGTCGCAGGTTCGATTCCGGGGAGCGGCGTGAGCTTCCGCTGCCAGCCCTAGCTTCTGCCAACCTAGCAGTTCGAAAACATGCAAATGTGAGTAGATCAATAGGTATCGCTCCGGCGGGAAGGTAACGGCGCTCCATGCAGTCATGCCGGCCACATGACCTTGGAGGTGTCTACGGACAATGCTGGCTCTTCGGCTTAGAAATGGAGATGAGCACCACACCCCAGAGTTAGACATGACTGGACTTAATGTCAGGGGACTACCTTTACCTTTACCTTATCTCTCCATATGAAGACTCAAAGTGGTTCACGGTTTAAAACATTACAATACAACTTAAAACATGCAAATATACAATAATAAAACAGTGTTATCATTATATATCATTATATATTATCGGTACTATTACAATTAATGTATTAGTATTATATTACAATATTATAATATATTGTTATATTGTATTATATTGTATTACATTACGATATTATTAGTAATATTATATGTATATACAATATATATATATATTTTTTGCATGGCACAATATTAGGAGCCCCTGGTGGCGCAGTGGGTTAAACCCCTGTGCCGGCAGGACTGAAGACCGACAGGTCGCAGGTTCGAATCCGGGGAGAGCGTGGATGAGCTCCCTCTGTCAGCTCCAGCTCCTCATGCGGGGACATGAGAGAAGCCCCCCACAAGGATGATAAAACATCCAAACATCCGGGCGTCCCCTGGGCAACGTCCTTGCAGACGGCCAATTCTCTCACACCAGAAGCGACTTGCAGTTTCTCAAGTCACTCCTGGCACGACAAAAAAAAGTATTATATATTATTATATTGTACTATACTGCAATATATATTAGTCATATAATATTATCAGTCATTATATATAGGGCCCCCTGGTGGCGCAGCAGGGTAAACTGCTGAGCTGCTGAACTTGCTGACTGAAAGACTGTTGGTTCGAATCTGGTGAGCGAGGTGAGCTCCCGTTGTTAGCCCCAACTTCTGCCAACCTAGCAGTCCAAAAACATGCAACTGTGAATAGATCAATAGGTACCACTTCAGCAGGAAGGTAGTCATGCCAGCCATATGACCTTGGATGAGCACCGGATCACTTTCAAAGTGATGGTACTCACCTTTAAGGCCTTGCATGGTCTGGGGCCGATGTACCTGAGGGACCGCCTCACCCCCTACCAACCCCAGAGATCCCTCCGTTCTGAGGACCAAGATCTATTGGAAGCCCCCAGTGTCAAGACCTTGCGTCTAACGGCAACCAGACGCAGAGCCTTCACAGCAGTGGTACCGTCACTCTGGAATACTCTGCCACCTAAAGTCTGTGCCTTGTGGGACTTACCAGCTTTCCGCAGGGCATGTAAGACATACCTGTTTCAACAGGCTTTTAATGTTTGACATTGCTGTTTTTAAATTGTTTTAAATTGCTTTTAAATTTGTTAGATTTTAGCTATTCTTGTAAGCCACTCCGAGCCCCAGGGGAGTGGCGGCATATAAGTTTAAATAATAAATAAATACATAAATACAGTCTTTGGCTTAAAAATGGGGTTGAGCATCTAGTCTTGTCCAGAGTTGGACAAGACTAGACTTCATGTCAATGGGAACCCTTTATCTTTACCTTAAGGCATGTTACTCTGCTATTAGTGTGTGTGTATCATCATATAATGATAAGAAAATGATTTGCAAGTGTATTATTATTACTATATTTATTTATACCCAGCTTTATCTTTCTTGCAGGAGACTCAAAGTGGGCTACAAGATATATCTGTATCTATATAAATAAAAATGTAATGTTCGTTTGTGGGATTAGCAGAACTCAAAAACCACTGGGGGAATTGACACCAAATTTGGATACAAGACACCTAACAACCCAATGTACGTCCTTCACTCAAAAAAACACTGAAAAACACAGCAGAAGGGACTTAAAAAGGCCCTAAAAGCTAAATGACGAAAAGCTAAATAACAATATAGAAAAAAGGGAAGAAAGAGGGAGGGAAGGGGAGGAAAGAAAGAAAGGGGGAGGGAAAGAAAGAAGGAAAGGGAGGAGGAAGCATGGAAGGAAAGAGGAGGAAGAAGAAAGGAGAGAAAGAGGGAGGAAGAAAAAGGGGAAGAAGGAAAGTTGAAAGGAGGAAGGACAGAAGGAAAGAAAAAATGGAAAGAAGGAAGGAAAGAGGGAGCGAAGGAAGGGGGAAGATGTAGAGAAAGAGGGAGGGAAGGAAAGAGAGAAGGAAGAAAAGAGAGACAGCAGAAGAGAAAGAAAAAGGGAATATGAAGGAAAGATAGAGAAGGAAGGAAGAAGAGAAGGAAAGACGGGAAGGAAGGAAGGAAAGATGGAATGAAGGAAAGAGGGAAAGAAGGAGAAAAAGAGGGAAGGTTGACCACAGCAACGCATGGCGGGTACAACTAGTGTGTGTGTGTGTGTGTCAGTATGAGAAAGTAAAAGGAAAGGAAAACAAGCACAGTTGACAAGAAAGTTACAATGACTTCTCACTTCCTCTCTGATGGATACAGTCTCAAATACATATCTATATCCACGAATTCCACTATCCATAGCTTGAACATGTCCTATAGAAAGAATGCAGTTTGACACCACTTTAACTACCATGCCTCAGTTCTATGGGATCCTGGGAGTTGTAGTTTTACAAGGCCTTTTACGGTCTGTGCCAAAGAGTGCTGTTGCCTCACCAAACTACAAGTCCCACAATGCCATAGAAGTTAAAGTGGTATCAAACTGCATTCATTTTGAAGTTTAGATACATCTTTGGAGAAGGCCTCCTTCTGTGTTCCTTATTCAAGCCAGAACAGGACAGATTCTAAGATTTCACCTGGCTCAGGCTTGCAGTCAGTGGCCACTTCCTTTATCATGCTCAAGTGGATTTTAGGAACAAAAACAATGCCAGGCATGTCCATTGGAAGCAAAGGTAGCTATTGGAAAAATAGCAAGTAAGGATGGCAATTGACGCAATTGAGGGTGTATCCACAGCAGGTATGGGCAAACTTGGGCCCTCCAGGTGTTTTGGACTTCAACTCCCATATAGCCTTCCTAACTGCCTCACGCCCTTTCCCCTTTCCTTTCCCCTTTTCCACTTAAGTGGTTGAGGGGGAAAAAGAAGGGGTCTGAGGCTGTTAGGCATTGTGGGAGTTGAAGTCCAAAATACCTGGAGGGCCCAAGTTTGCCCATGCCTATTCTACACAGCCATGGCTCAGTGCTATGGAATCATGGGAGTTGTAGTTCTACTAGGTTTTTTAGCCTTCTCTGCCAAAGAATGCTGATGCCTCAACAAACAATGACTGCCATGATTCCATAGCTATGGCAGTTACAGTTGTATCAAACTCTATTCTAGATCCATCCCCCTCCAGGCTCCTGTACCTTTAAGAGTCACTTAAGGAGATTCCTTTTGAGACATGTTGTTTTGCCCATCACATAAACAGTAGGATGGGGATAACCATATCTGCTGGAATTCCTTCTTTGGGGTCGGTGTTTCTAAGGCCCCTTCCATACAGCTGTATAAAATCCACATTGAACTGGATTATCTGGCAGTGTGGACTCAGATAAGCCAGTTCACATCAAATATTGTGGATGATCCACCGTTACATTCTGGGTTATATGTCTGCGTGGAAGGGCCTCAAGACAAAAAAAAAAGGCTTTCTCTCATCTGTTTATACCTCTGGGGGCATTTCCACACAGCCCTATATCCCAGAATATCAAGATGGATAATCCCACATTATCTGAGTGTGGACTCATAACCCAGTTCAAAGCAGATATTGTGGGATTTTCTGCTTTGATATTCTGGGATATAGGGCTATGTGGAAGGGCCCATTGTGTAGTGCAGTATTTCTCAACCTGTGGGTCAGGACCCCTGGGGGCGTCATGAAGGGGTGCCAGAGGGGTCACCAAAGGCCATCAGAGAACATGGCATTTTCTGTTGGTCATGGGAGTTCTGTGTGGGAAATTTGACCCAATTCTATCATTGGTGTGGTTCAGAATGCTTTTTGGTTTTAGATGAACTATAAATCCCAGCAACTACAACTCCCAAATGGCAAGATCTATTTTCCACAAACTCTACCAGTGTTGACATTTGTGCATATTGAGTATTCATGCCAAGTTTGGTCCAGATCCATCATTGTTTGAGTCCACAGTGCTCTCTGGATGTAGGTGAATTACAACTCCCAAACTCAAGGTCAATGCCCTTCCAGTATTTTCTGTTGCTATTGGGGGTTCTGTGTGCCAAGTTTGGTTCAATTCAATTGTTTGTGGAGTTCAGAATGCTCTTTGATTGTAGGTGAACTATAAATCCCAGCAACTTGGGATTTATAGTTCACTTGGCAGAGGGTTGGACTGGATGGCCCATGAGGTCTCTTCCAACTCTTTGATTCTATTATTCTATGAACTACAACTTCCAAATGACAAAATAAATCTCCCCAATCCCACCAGTATTCAAATTTGGGCATACTGAGTATTTGTACCAAATTTGGACCAGTGAATGAA